CTACTCTAAGGGCCCAGTCACACCATCAAGAGTGCGTTTGGCCTCTGGAACACAACCCAGCCAGCTCACTTTGTTTTGGGGCGGGAGGGGGGTCATGGCGGTGCATTGAACTCAATGGCACTGCAGCCACGTCCCCCGCCCGCGGTGCGATTGCTGGCACCCGAACGTGTGGCACATTAGTGCCTGCATTCCGGTCCAGTGCAATCTGCAAAAAATGCTGCAAGCATAATGTGCCACACGTTCGGGTGCTGGCAAACGCACCGGGGGCAGTGGCTGTGGTGCCACTGAGTTCAATGCACCGCCACGCCCCCTCCCGCCCCCCAAAAAAGTGAGCCGGCCGGGGATGCGTTCCAGAGGCCGAATGCACTGAAATGCACTCTTGATGGCGTGACAGGGCCCTGAGGAGGACACATCGATTTGTTGATCCAGGGATGGTGATTGATTTTGTAACCGTATCATGTACGATTACATGCGGTCTGTCAGCAGTCTGCTGCTTTAAAATACAGCAGCTGACACCCGATCATTTAACTTGAAGGGTGACAGCTACCATTTGTAAACGGAAGATTTGGAATTCCTGCTGCAGGAAATCGTAACGTCCTGCCATAGGAATTCCAAATCGCACCTACTTGGTAGGTGTGAATAAGGGCTTAGGCTTTGTTGACACTTGCTATTTGTCTTTTTGTCCTCCTATATCCAGAGGAAAATCTGTCAGGCTAGATGCTGTGTTTATGCTTCCAGATGCTTTAAATGACATACGTTTATGTGTGTTTTCATTTGTGTGCATTTAGATGTACATGCTACAAAATTCTAGCATGAAAATGAGTTTACATGTGTTTTGGTGCGCTTAGCTGTTTCCTGGATGCACCTGACTTCTGTTTTTTGAAAACACAGATAAGCTGACTGCAGATAAAAGCATCTAGATGCAAAGTGTGAATATTCCCACTGGAATTAATTAGATGCATACTGTATATATGCGTTTGCAAACACTTTTTAACTGCATATAAAAACATCTAAGAAGAGTCACTGTTCAGTTGACAGTTTTCAGCCAGCTACTTCGACGAAAGTCGATTGAGTAATCCAACTTTTGTTGAGCCGGCAGGGCCACATCCACTGTTAGGACCAGGAGTTTTTGGATGAGCCAAGAAAGTGCTGGGAATGGGACGCATTGGATTTCAGCACCTAGTCTGCTCTTCTTTGGCCTTTGACTTGGTGGCTGCAGAAAACACTTGTGGGTGAGATCAGTTGCTGGGCTCCAAGTGTGAGGCCCTGCCACAGTCGATTAGTTGCTGCCGGTGTCCCTTTTAAATTCTCACTGCTCTCCCCGCCTGTGTCTGCAGAGGCAGCAGGGACACAGACCACTGCAGCCGGCGCCAGCGGGGAGGAGAGACCGCAGTGACTGCATTCTCCTTCTGCCCTCTGTACCTGCACTGCCGCCCTGTTCCGGGTCTCCCGCTCCCCGCCCCCGGGTTTCCCGCTGGGAGTGGAAGTTCAGTGCAAGATAACTTTTACATTGTCTTTCCCTGTAAGAAAACTGCAATGCCCTACAGGATTCAGAAGAGAAGTCTCTCCAAAGGGACAAAAAAAAAGACAGTGTGTTGCAGGTGTCTTTCTCCCGTCCAAGTCCATGCCAATTAACGGACGTTCAGTAACATGGAGGGAAGGAAGTGTCATTGGACTACAAATGTGGTGATGTCCCTGCACTTGTATTCCATTGAGAACTACAAGTTCTCTATTCCATTGAACTAGTAGAAATACCTGCATTTTTTTTGTATATTCTTTATTAAAAGATTTTACAATATATAAACAAGATATTCAGAAAATATGATCAGTAAGAAAAGAAAAGAAAAAAACAAACAAAACATACATGTCATGAAGTATAGACATTGCTTTGTCCCAAGGCAGAACAGAAACTAAGAAATGTTAGGGCTTGAAAAATGTTAGTGTGACTCATCAGTCAGTCATACATGTCACCAGTCAGCATGACCGGACTATAGCCTTGCAATTTATGTTAACATTTTTTGGGGACAGATAGAGCTTTCTTTTGGTGGTATATAAAATCACCACTTTTATTTTTTACTATATAATGAGAAAAGTACCGTAAATAAAAAACAAAGTTAACAAAGTTTCCCTAAGTTATGTTATAAAACATCTATTCTTACCCATATTTTTGGTAAAACATAAAAGACGGGGTCACGTCGGGTAAATAGACACCAAATATGTCAAGCCTTAAAATTGCGTGCGACCGCAAAATCGCAAAAAAATGACCACATGAAAATTGCCCATAGGCGACGCTTAAAACGCTTTTACCGCTTATCAGTAATTAATGGCCCTAAAATTATTGCTCGCACTCCGACGTTCGCGGCTATATGCAACAGTAGGCGCAATCGTTGTTTTAGCACGCAGGCGCACCCGACGCATATGTGTATGTGGGGGGGCGGAGGACTTTTTAAATTTGTTTTTAATGCTTTCACAGTCCCCCCCCCCCCC